ACTTAATTAGAAACTCTGGGGGTAGAGGTTAGCAATCTGTTTTAACAAGTCTTCCCAATGATTCTGATACAAGCTCAAGTTGAAAACTAGGGATATGGAATAATGACATCAAATAATGGGATCTATGGCAATTTTAACACACTCACTGATATTCTTGTTCTGTTCTCCACCCTCTGCCTCACCCCACCAAGTCCAATTCCAACCCTAAAGTACCAAATTTATCCCTAATCCTACTAACTTCAACCTAAATAGAAGCATAGAATTAAAAACAGCAACTATTGATATTATTCTGGAGAAAGACTTGGACAAAAGTATACAATTTAGTACTTTAAATAATTGTTAAACCTATGTTTGTGGATAGACTGAGGGGCATCAGAAGAGACAAAGATTCCTGAAAATGTTGAGATACACAACTGATAACTAAGGAGGTTTTTAGGTTTAGTCTTGCAATTAATGCTCCCACTCCAAATGCTGCCCACTGAATGTTTCCCAATTTGAGGGAATATAGGTGGCCACAGAGATCTACTCTTGGTTTGATATCCCAATGAGATTTTGAAGTCTGTAATTTCTAAGTGTGTGGTTCATAGTGCAGGGAGGTCTTCTGGGTGACAACTACACAGCTTTCCTCTATGGCACCTGGACAGTGCCCCCAGATTTAGATGCCCACAAACCCTCCAAGGCATGACAGTAAAATATAGTTACTTACAGGTGTTTTTGCTTATTCTAATTAGTAAGACACCATCCTTTTCCTCTACAACACTGTGAAAGACTTTTAGAACAAGCTGTCAGGGAATTAAATGTCTACCGAAAATTGTACTAACTGGTTTACTTCTAAATTGAGCATGGCTAGATTAAACATTAACAAGATAATCCATAAATAATCAAAATCCAAGAAACTAGTTGGGGAGAATAATGTTATCCAATCCTTTTAAATCTTTGATACATACTTTATTTCTTGATAGGTCATCACTTTGGTTGTTTTCAGGTTTCTTTTCAAGTTCTTCACATTCTTATTAAATTCTAAAGGAAAGATTATCAATACTTAAATATGTATCTGACACACCAAATCACAACCATAAAGAAATCAGTTACCTACCTACCAAAGCAGAAAGTAGATGGAAGAAAAAAAAAAAAATCCAACTTCTAAATGATGGTGGAAGCAAAAGTAGTCACACAATTAGCATTATCTACCAAAATATTTGACAATATTATTCATATATTGATGCAATGGGTTAAGTTTGTAAACAATTTCCCTGGTATCGGGTAGTCATTAACCAAACTGTTTTCATTTTTCTCATGAAAAGAAGAAATGGATTTAAATTAGAAAGGATATCAAATTACAGTTTTAACTTTAATGATAATAGGATCAACTAGAGTCCACTCAAGTCCCAGGTGGGGCAAATAGTTAAGTGCTCAACTACTAGCTAAAAGGTTGACAGTTTGAACCTACTTCAGGAGACAGGCCTGCTTTTAAAAACCCTATGGAGCAATTCTACATTCATGGGGTCTCCATAAGTCAGAAGTCACTTGACTCAATGGCAACTAACAACAGAGTCCACGTAGGGGTGCCTCAGAAGAAAGGCCTGGCAATCTACTGAAAAATCAGCCACTGAAAGCCCTACGAAGCACTGACCTATTCTGACCCACATGGTCACCATGAGTCAGAACAAACTGGAATGCAGTAACTAGTGAAAGTATTCTCTTCCCTGAAGGAAAACCAAAAAAACCAAATCCCCTGCCATTGAGTCGATTCTGACTCACAGCAACCCTTTAAGACAGACCAGAACTGCCCCATAGGGTTTCCAAGGATGTAAATCTTTTTTTTTAAATTTTTTTTTACTGTGATTTGGGTGCAAATTTACAAAGCAGATTTGTTTTACTCTCAACAGTTCATGCACATTTGATTTCATGACCCCAATTACAATCCCCAACCATAAAAAGCTCCCCTCCTCTTCCCTGTGCCCTTCTATCTAAGCATTCCTGTCTGTCCAGCTTTCACATAGAGTGAATGCTGCCCCTCTGATGTCTCATGGCTGAAAGATCTAAAGGGTGTACCTCTCTAGGGTAGGTGGGTGCATATCCCTGGGGTAGGTGTGCTGCTTGTAGGTCTTTCTACCATTGGGCTGAGAGCCAATCCATGGAAGTGAATCCATTTCCAGGCCTGAAGAATAACCCAGACTATAGTCTCAGGGGTTCCACCAGTCTCTATCTGACAGTAATTCCGGTCATTTTTGTGTTTTTGAATTTTGTTCCACACTTTTCCTCCCACTCTATCCAGGATCTCCAATTTTAATCCCTTTCTAAGTGGTTGGCATTTGTAGCCAGGCACCATCTAGTTCTTTGGATTGCTTCCAAATGACTTTGATTTTCTTCACTCTTCTTTGCTCCAGACAAAAGGGGACCAATGGCTGCTCAAAAGCTTTTAAGACCCCAGCTGCTACTCAAAAACGGAAGATGTAGAACAAGATTTCTATGTACTATGTTGTGCCAATTAAGCATGATGCCCTCCAAGGCTACAGTCCCAAGCCTGCAGGCCCAGTGATTCTCTCCCTCAAGATGTTTGGTTGTCTCCGAGAAGGTACTCCAACCTTGTCTTCTGTTATTTCTGTAATGCATATGGACAATTTTGTAGCTTAAGTACATATAAGACCACCTTCAGCTAACTCTATCCTTGGTCTTGGGTATATTCCCATCTACCTATCCAAGGCTGTAAATCTTTACAAAAGCAGACTGCTTCATTGTTTTCCCACAGAGAGGTCAGGGGGTTCAAACCACTGACCTTTTGGTTAGCAGCCAAATGCTTTTAACTGTTGCACCACCAGAGCTCCTCTATTAAAGGAGAAGGAACTAAATATTTATCATGCAAATACTGTTCCAGGATACTATGGGGATTGTGCATATAGACTTTATAGACATTGTTTAATCCTTACACTACTACCACGAACATCACCTCCAGTTTATAAATGAGAACAGTGAGATTCAGTTGTTGTTTTTATGTGCCGTCGAGTCGGACCCAACTCATAGCGACCTCTCCTTGGGTTTCCGAGGCAGTATCACTACAGAAGTAGACTGCCCCATCTTCCTTCCGAGGAGTGGCTGGTGGGTTTGAACTGCCAGCCTTCTGGTTAGCAGTCAAGTGCCTTAGGCACTATGCTACCAGAGCTCCCAGTGAGGATCAGAGAGGTTAAGAAACTTTCCTAAGTTCACACAACTACTAAATGGCAAGATCAAGATGCACACCAAAGTCAGTCTGACAGTAAACTCCATTTTTTCCCCAACACCTCAGGCTGTCTCATTAGTAATCTCTGTCTATAATACAAAGGAGCCCTGGTGGCCCAGTGGGTAAGTGTTCAGCTGCCAAGTGAAAGGTCGGCCCCACCAGCCGCCCAGTCAGCTGCTCTTTGGGACAAAGATGTGGCATTCTGCTTCTATAAAGATTACAGCCTTGGAAACCCTTAGGGGCAGTTCTACTCTGTCCTACAGAGTTACCATGAGTCAGAACTGATCCGAGGGCAATGGGAGGAGGAAGGTCTATGATAGAAATGAGGTAGATGATAGTTTCCTGTTCCTTGATTGATTATTACTACTGAATTAACACTAGAACGATACTACATCAGGTTCATCTCTGATTTCTCCATTCTCCAAATTGTGCATTTGTTGTCATTGTTGTTATGTGCTGTCAAGTTGGACCCAACTCATAGCGACCCCTCCTTGGGTTTCTGAGGCGGTTGTCACTATGGAAGTAGATTGCCCAACCTTCCTTCCAGGGAGTGGCTGGTGGGTTTGAACTGCCAGCCTTCTGGTTTGCACTGCTAATTGTGGCATTCAATCTTGCTCTATCCTAAAACATTACGTTAAATATATTCATATCCTATTTCTGCAAAAAATTCTGTAGTCTTTCAAAAGGTAGTCTCTTTGACCCATCTTCTATACCTCTACAGTGTTCAGCACTGACTATACATTTGGAGTCCTACTTATCTTTGCATTCCCTGAAGTTAAGCAGTATGTAAACTCTAGTGGGGCAGTGCTTAAAACATTCAGCAAATGTTGCCAGTTCTAACCCACCAGCCCACCTAGGAGAAAGATAAGGCAGTCTGCTTCTGTAAAGATGTACTGCCTTAGAAACCCTATGGGGCAGTTCAACTCTGTGTAATAGGATAGCAATAGGGTCACTGAGTTGGAATCAACTCCATGGCAGCAGTTAAGTAGTATGTTACATGGCAAATGGTTATGTTTGCTTAAGGACGTATAATAAAAGTGTATTATTATACAGCAATATAGGACTGTTGTACCGAATCTTGTGGATTCTCCCTTTTAAAAAATTATAGCTACTTCAAGACATTTACCTGTTGAATTTTAAAAACGATCTTATAAGGAATTTTTTTTTTAAAGACCTAAATGAGCAAAGTGGTGTAATTATTTGGTACAGCAGTTATTTGTTAAACTGGTATTTAGTTAGCTAAAGTGTCCTATCACATTTCTTACATGAACTTTCATAGACTGCAGCTTTTAAAACTAGGCTGAACAGCTGTAGGATGAAAGGTTTTAGTTCACCCCTTTGAAACAGAAAAGCTACAGGATAAAAAGGAATCATTTTTATATATAAATAATCAAATCAGAACAGCATCCAAGGGGCAAGCAGCACACCCGCTATCTGGTTTGAAGCGTCCGTTGATCTGCTATGGGCACAGTAAGCTTTCTTCTGCACTAAATCACAGGAAACAGAAACAGGGGACTGCACAAATGTCCCCACGACATGCCAGTCTCAACTGAGTTGCTTCTCAGTCTCAACAAATTGTAACATGGAGTGGGTAAAGGAGACACTAGTAGTAGAGGGGCTCCAGCACCTGTTTCCAAGACCATCCCCGCTCAACGAGCGCCTCTGGGAGACCGCAGCGCCAGGGTTTCTGTCCCCACAAAAGGTCTGGGGAGGCTCAGCCGAAGCCAGAATCAGCTTTTGACACGCAGCCGCCACCCCAGCCCTCCGCCGCCCGCCTCACCTGCAAGTCCCGCGCGCTCGGGGGCCGCGGCACGGAAGACTCTCGCTCTTGCTGGTTGAGCTCAGCACCGCCGCCTTCCGCCATCTTCTGCCTACCGCCTGCACCCTCCTCCAACGCACCTCCCCTGGGACTTCTGGGACTGTTGCCTGGCAATCGCGGGGAGGCGGAGCTGCGCTGCTAGCCCCTACAGGGAGGGGCGGAGCCGCTCTCAGTCGGAGCGCGCCCATACTCAACCCGGCTTCCTTACCCTTCAGAGCTACCGACCCTTCTCGCAAGCCCCTGCTCCCTGCAGCCTTTATCCCCCGCGTGCTCCCCAGCTCTTCGCGCGACCCCGACCCCCAGAATTCTTCACCGTCGCGCTTCTGTCCCGAGAGCGCCCACCCTCGCGCCCTGCCTCCGCAACCTCGCAAGGCGCGCCCTCGTCCTCTGTAGTCTTCCCAGGATTGTCCCTCGGCCCACTTGTTTTGTTTCCTTTTCCTTAAAAGAAATTAACGGAGGTATCGTAAAAAGTCAAGGAAAGGTTTATATGTAGAAGGAAATTTTCTTTGTTGGTTACCAGGGGTGGAGGAAACACTGTTAGATAGGTAGAGACAAGTATTGACGTGGGTGAAGAGAAGGGCAATGTACTAAATATGAGTGGCACCGAGGAAGAGAAAGACATAAGGTGCATGGGAGGTACAGACAACAAAGATGAACTATTTTGCACACACAGTATTGCGTTCCCATTGAAGGCAAACATTGATATACAGGTGGATAGATGGTGGTGGACGGAGGAGCTCTGGTAGCATAGTGCCTAAGGCACTGGACTGCTAATCAGAAGGCTGGTGGGTCAAACCCACCAGATTCTACTCGGAAGGAAGGTTGGGCAGTCTATTTCCCTAGTGATACTGTCTGGGAAACCCAAGGAGGGGTCGCTATGAGTCCGGTCTGGCTCCATGACACATGACAACAACAACAGATGGGTGGACAGGCAATAAGGTTGAGCAATCTACTTCTGTAGTGATATCACCTCGGAAACCCAAGGAGGGGTTGCTATGAGTCGGGTCCTACTCTTTTATTTTTTTTTTAATGCAGGGGGAAGTGTGCCCAAGACCATGTACAGGGTTGGCAGACAATGTTTCTATGAGTGTACTTGTATGTTCTGTAAGAATTCCAAGGTACATACTAGAGCTGACAAGGGACAAGGTTGTAATCACTTCTTGGCCACAGCCAGCTACCCAGAGGGAGCGAGTAGTTGGACCTGTGGGCTCCGGACCATAGTTGCAGGGGACATCAAGCTCAACTGGCATAACATACTACACAAAAACATTGTTCCACATCCTACTTTGGCGAGTAGCGACTGGGATATTAAAAGATTGCAAGCAGCCATCTAAATGCAATGATG